ACAATTAACGGAGAGATAGATAAATAGATAGATAGATAGATAGAGAGAGAGAGAGAGAGAGAGAGAGAGATGTACATTCCTCGGGGGGGGGGGGGGGGGTGGAGGGTGGGGGGACACAGAACAGAGATATCAAAGGTGGTTGTGTCGCGGTGAGAGGTTTTCGGGGGGAGAGAGTGTCGAGACAAGAAACCCAACGATCAAGTGACACACTTAATACAGCTCGTTTCATAGGGGATGAGATACCCAGAGGTGCATTGGTCGGAAAAAAACAACGTCTGCCTCGTGCCTGCGCCTCTCGACGATTATACGCGGATTGTTATTCGAAGCAAAAAGGGATGGAAAATCTCTTCGAAGTCTCGCGAGGCGCGCAGACGATGCTCGTTCATCGTGGCGGTGTGAATAATCCATGGAGTCGAAGTGGTTTTTACAATTCTCGGTGATGTTATAATTATCATAATACGATCTTATAATTATATTAATTAGAGTCTATAATTATGCGATTAATTTTGATTGAAACAATGTGCGTGGTTGAATTGGACAAATTGAAACAAAAAAAATTTTGTTATAATTATCATAATATGATGTTATAATTATATTAATTAGTGTCTAGAATTATGCAATTAATTTTGATTACTTTGCTCGCTGAAACAAATATATGCACTACATAATGTACCCCTTGAAACCATGCAACTTTTGTATACAACATTTCTTTGTACCACGCATATTGACGAAGTCACAGAGGTGCACAAGGTGAACAAGTTGCGTGGACCACCCTGTGTACAGGGTGTCCCAAAAATGTTGCGCAATCTGGAAATAGGGGACTCCTGAGGTAATTTGAAGCAACTTTCACCTTTACAAAAATTTTCTGCGGGGCACCGTTCATGAGTTATTCACGAAAAACGCTGACCAATGAGAGATTACTGACGCCCCGCCCTCGCGACCACCGCCGCTGCGTCAGCTGGCCAGCGCGATGCGACATTGGCCGCAAGACCGAGGCGCCGCCGGCCGCAGTCGCTCTCCGATTGATCAGTGTTTTTCGTTAATAACTCGTAAACGGAGCGGCGGATTGCATTTTCGCTAAGGAAAAAGTTATTTGAAATTACCTCAGGAATCTCCTACTTTCGGATTGCGAGACATTTTTGGGACATCCTGTATATATATACAACAGCCTTCCGCATAAATTGCAGGAACACGAACCAAGTAAAATGTTATTTCTTTCTTTAATCAATATTCTAAATTCCAGTTTGCTTAATTTAGTTGGAACAACGTTCTCAACGTTTATTACAGAGTATATGTTATAACAGACATAAATAAATACAAACGCTATCACACAGTATGACCTTGACGAAACCGTAGATTTTTGCTGTCACGTGAAATAAAATGCCCGGATAAAATTACCGCTGCAAAGAAACTAAAAAATGTGAAGAAAACACAGTATACGTACTTCCTACAATATGCTTCGTTAAAAGCAAAAATTATTATCGCTTGCACAATATAAAACTCGTAGGAACGAACAAGAAAATTGCGTTTGCCAATTTTTCTTCGATAAACCATCGCACTGTGCGCCGCGACGATTTTTCAGTGGCCCACAAAAGTGTTCGTACACCTTTTCAAGACGCAATAACTTTTTTGAAACTGGACTATATGACTTGAATTCTTTTTTAGATGATTAGAGTTAGAGGGACCAGTATACTAGACAATGATCAAAATGTCTTAAATTTTGCTATTATTTGGAATGACAGATAAAAATAGAAAACCTAACCTAACCTAACCTTTTTATCCGAGCTTGTAACGAAGATGAAAAGAATTCAAATTTTCGTTACAGGCTCCGAATAATAACGGGAGTATTCTATTTTCTGTTGTCATTCCAAATAATAGCAAAATTTAAAAAAAAGACACTTTGGTCATTGTCTAGTATACTAGACTAGTATACTATTCGAGCCTTGCAGTTCAATTTTTATAGTTACGAATTGTCAACAACTATAAAAACAAGCTACAAAGCTCGAATAAATGGACTTAGGCCATTTTCAAAATAAACGGCTCATATGTCTCCCTAATTGACGCTCAGACTGTCCACAAAAATAGACAATTTGGGAAGAGGAGGAGGATAATTTGGGAGGAGATACGATTATTCGAGTCTTCCAGCTCGTTTTTATAATATTGTTGACAATTGGGAACAATAAAATCGAGATGCGAGATTCGAATAATGGTATCACCACTCCCCAAATTGTCCATTTTTGTGGACAATCTGAGCGTCAATTAGGGAGACATTACTGTAGTCCCTCTATCATGCAAAAAAAATTCAAGTCACTTAGTCCAGTTTTAAAAAAGTTATTACGTTTTATTAAAAAATTATATATATAAAAATAAAAAAATAATATATATATATATATAATAATGATAATATATAATATAATAATAAAAATAATGAAAAAATAATAAAATATATACTTTTTTATATAAAAAAAATTATTATATAAAGTATTACATAGATTTGCGGGCCACTGTATGGCGTCTCCGTTTTGTTCCAGTAAATAAATTATCTCCGCGGATAATCGTGGTGAAAGGTGTTCGGGAAAAGTCCAGCAAAGGCGTACCGAGGTGGCAGACGAACTTTTG